ATAGTAGTAGTAGTAGTAGTAGTAGTAGTAGTAGTAGTAGTAGTGGTAGTGGTAGTAGTAGTAGTTAGTAGTACTAAAAATATAAGCAACAGTAGTAGCCTTCGTAGTAGCAGTAGTAGTAGTTGTAGTATTGGCAATATAAAAAATAGTAATGGTAGCGTTAGTAGTAGTCGTAGTAATAGCAGTAGTAGTAGTAGTAGTAGTGGGTAGTAGTAGTAGTAGTACTACTACTAGTAGTACGAGTAGTAATAGTAGTAGTAGTAGTAGTAGTAGTCATACTAATAGTAGTAGTAGTAGTAGTAGTAGTAGTAGTAGTAGAAGAAGAAGAAGAAGTAGTAGTAGCAGTATTAGTACGATTAGTAGTAGTAGTAGTGATAGTGGTAGTGGTAGTGGTAGTAGTAATGATAGTAGTAGTAACACTAGTAGTAGTAGTAGTACGAGTAGTAGTAGTAGTAGTAGTAGTAGTCGTAGTCGTAGTAGTAGTAGTAGTAGTAGTAGTAGTAGTAGTAGTAGCAGGAGTAATCGTAGTAGTAGTAGTAGTAGTAGTAGTAGTAGTAGTAGTAGTAGTAGTAGTAGTAGTAGTAGTAGTAGTAGTAGTAGTATGAATAGTCGTAAAATATTGGGCGATTGAGAATGGGAGAAGGTCCTCATCCTCCCCCTCGTCCCCCTCATTTTCGTCATCGTTGTCCTCCTCCTCCGCCGCCGCCTCCTCGTTTTCCCCATGATCCTCGTCCTCATTTTCTCTTGCCCTGGACGCGGCCCCCTGCATTTGAGCCCGCAATGCGTGCGCGCGCCGCAATGACTATGAACGCCGCAATGTTCATATACTGCACAACGCCCGCGAGCGCATTCAGTGCCCGTATACACCGATCAGCGCCTACAACTGCAACGCCACGCTCCGACCGCCGCGCCAGTGCCTCTCAACAGCAGAACACTGCGTCCCTGAGACCTCCACGCGGCACGCACGTAAGCGCAATTTTACCTCGCGAGTGCCACCGCGTCCTTGTGAGCACAACAACATGCCTCTGAACACCACAGTAGCCTGCGAGAGCCACAAGACGTCCGCGGTCGCCACCGGACGACCGCCGCCACGTGACTACAGGGGGGGGGGGCGGGGCCGATCACACGCGTGATCGCCGGGTTTTTTCCGAATGGGTTCCAATCTTGAGCTGTCCTGTGGTTTTTGTTGGCCCATCGTGGGGACTCGGGGGGGGGCCAGGGGCACGGCCGGAGCGGGGGGGGCACGGTCGGTCGGTCGGAATAAGCAGGCGGGGGGGCCACGGGGCGGAAGGGGCGGGACACGGGGGTGGCCACGGAGAGGGAAGGGGGGGGGCGGTCGGTCGGCGGGGGCCACGGGGCGGAGGGGTGAGGCACGGTCGGTCGGAACAAGCAAACGGGGGCCACGGGGCGGAGGGAGGGGGCACGGTCGGTCGGTCGGTCGGAATAAGCATGCAGGGGCCGCGGGGCGGAGAGGCGCGGGGGGGAGCAGGGGGTCGGGAAAGCACGGTCGCGCAGGGGGGGGGGGGCACGGTCGGTCGGTCGGTCGGAATAATCAGACGGGGGCGCGGGGAGGAGAGGGGGGGCACGGTGCGAACACGAACCGATCGCAACCACTTCGGACCGATCGCAAACCACTTCGGACAGATCGCAACCAGTTGCGATCGGTCCGAAGTGGTTGCGATGTTCTGGGGTCGTTTCAATAAGGTTTTGATTGAGGAAGAAATCTTAAAAGCGCTTCTGGGTTCAATGAGTTTCTGTAAGCCGCCCAATGGGAATCTGAAGAAGCGGTTGCGATCGGTCCGATCACAGACAGCCGATCATGATCTCAGCTAAACAAACGTGTTGGAGCTCGAACGTGGCCATGATCCGTATACGATTCCTGTGTGATTCGTATACGATTGAAACCGAAACTGAGCGAACACGCGCGGCGCGAAACAAATTGCATCTCAGGAGGGGGAGGGAGGAGCAGCAGGAGGAGGACGGGGAGGAGGAGGAGGAGGAGGAGGAGGAGGAGGAGGAGGAGGAGGAGGAGGAGGAGGAGGAGGGGGAGGGGGAGGAGGAGGAGAGAGGAGGAGAGGGAGGAGGAGAAGGAGGAAGAGGAGGCGGAGGAGGGGGGGAGGCGGAAGGGAGAAGGAGGAGGGGAGGGAGGAAGGACAGGAGCAAGAGGATCAGGAAAAGGAGGAGGAGGAGGAGGAGGAGGAGGAGGGGGGGAATCGGAAGAGGACAAGATCGCAAGGCGGGCAGGCGCGGCGGCCCAAACCCCCAACGTCATGACTTTTCCAGGACGTCGACCCCCAGAGGTCTGGACGGGTAGGTTCGTGCGGCGTCGGCACCCGCAAAGCTTTTGGCACCGCGTGGATCGTTCAACCTTGAATCGACCACGGCCCCGATCGTTCAATGTTGAATTTCGTCGGGTACAGTGGGCCCAACGTGCCACTCGGCGCTTCCCTTCGCCAGCGTCGCCGGCGCGCCAACGCCGCATGAACCTACAGTAAACCAGTATTGCATACTGAGTCACTTTTGGACGGCCCCTGTGCCCGGCGATGGCCCCCAGAGCCCGAAACAAAAACAGATGTTGTCACGACGCCAGGCGGTCTGGGCCTGAGGTGGTTGTGGGAACCATGGCTGGGGGACGTGTGCGCCCTGCGCGGCCTGCGAGACCTTTGGCGCCCGTGCGACACGCAGGACATGTGGGACCTGTGGGACCTGTGGGACCTGTGGGGCCTGCGGGGCAGGCCTCTCAGAAGCCTCGCAGAAGCCTCTCAGAAGCCTCGCAGAAGCCTCTCAAAAACCCTTCAGAAGCCTCTCAGAAGCCTTTCAGAAGCCTCGCAGAAGCCTCTCTGGAGCCTCTCAGAAGCCTCTCAGACGCCTCACAGAAGCATCGCACAAGCCTCTCAGAAGCCTCTCAGAAGCCTCCCACAAGCCTCTCAGAAGCCTCCCACAAGCCTATCAGAGGCCTCAGAGAAGGCTTTCAAAGGCCTCAGAGAAGCCTTTCGGAGGCCTCAGAGTAGCCTTTCAGAGGCCTCAGCAGGGGCTTTTGGAGCGGTTGCAATCCGGTGTTCTCCTGACAGGTTTGTACAGGAATCCTTTAGGTTGCGATCAGTCCGTTTCCAGTGGTTGTAATCCGACCGAAGTAGCTCCTGAACAGTCCGAAGTGGTTGTGATCGGTCTTATTCCCGGGGCACGGTCGGTCGGTCGGTCGGAATAAACAGACGGGGGCCACGGGGCGGAAACGGGGGGGGTCACGGTCGGTCGGTCGGAGTAAGCACACGGGGGCCACGGGGCGGAGGGGGGCGGGCACGGATAAGCAAACGGGGGCCCCCGGGCGGAGGGGCGCGGGGGGGAGCAGGGAAACGGGAGGGCACCGTCGAGCAGGGGGGGGGCACCGTCGGTCGGTCGGAATAATCAGACGGAGGCCACGGGGCGGAGGCCACGGGGCGGAGGGGCGGGACACGGTCGGTCGGTCGGCCGGAGTAAGCACACGGGGGCCACGGGGCGGAGGGGGGGGGGACGGTCGTCGGTCGGTCGGAATAAGCAGACGGGCAACGGGGCGGAGGGGTGCAGGGGGGAGCAGGGGGGCGGGAAAGTACGGTCGGGCAGACGGGGCGGGCACGGTCGGTCGGTCGGAATAAGCAGACGGGGGCCATGGGGCGGAGGTGTGAGGCACGGTCGGTCGGTCGGTCGGAAGAAGCAGATGGGGGCCACGGGGCGGAGGGGGGGGGCACGGTCGGTCGGCATTAGCAGACGGGGGCCGCGGGGCGAAGGGCGCGGGGGGGAGCAGGGGGGGCGCGAGGGCACGGTCGGGCTGGGGGGGGGCACGGTCGGCCGGTCGGTCTGAGTAAGCAGAAGGGGGCCACGGGGCATAGGGTTGCGGGGGGGCAGGCAGAGCACACGGGGGCGGCACGCAGCTTGGCCACACCCTAGCACGCATCCCAGCACACGGAGTCAGCACACATTCCAGCACGCATCCCAGCAGCACACGAAGGCAGCACACGTCCCAGCACACTTCCCAGCACACATCCCAGTCCAGCGCACATTCCAGGCACGGTCGGTCGGGCGGTCGACATAATGTAGTGCGAGATCACACCAGTAGGTATTACAATATTCCCCCTGTAGAGGGACAGGCCCGACTTAATGCTGGACTGCCATGTTCCAGCCCGAGTCCAGGGCCACTGCTTATTTTCTTGGCCACGACTCTACTCCCCGCTCTGTGTGCTCAGCGTCCTCCCCTCCTGAAGGGGCCCAGGAACACACAAATGAATACACACATATCCCAGGATTCCCAATATTTGTCTATACTTTCTGGGTTTTCGTCTAACCCCCCACTTCCCATATTTTCCTTGGAATCGACAATTAATTGTGTCTGTATGTTTCTTCCCCTCCTGACCTCCTTCCTCTGCGAATCTGTGTCACGTACACCACGGGCGCCGTTGGAGGGAAATTTGTGGGAGGTCTTCGTAAAAACAAGGAAGGGCAGTCGGGCCCGATCAAGGCCAGACTGAACCCGAACAGAGACAGATTCAGCGGGATTAAGCCGAATTCAACGGGATTGTGCCAGATTCGACCGGTTTCTGACCATGATATACCAGTGCCGATGCTGAATGTGGCCTCCACCTGCGTCACATGGGGGAGGGGCGATAATCGAGGATCCACGTTTCTGAATGCCCTTGGCCCTTGGCTCCTTCTGGAAGATCCGGCGCGAGGCCTATGAAGCCTCCGAGGAAGCATGGAGGCCTCCCAGGTCCCAGATGAGGTCGGAGTAGATAGGATCGGAGGATCGCGCCGCATCATCGATGCATCACCGATGCATCGGGGATACGTCGGCGACGTCGGCGATGCCTCGGCGTCGTCGGCGTGGAGAAAGACAGGCGTCACATCGAGCCGCGTCGCCGGTGCATCGGCGATGCGGAGGCCGTCCTCCGACCCCGCCTACTCCGACCCAACTGGGAGGCCTGGAGGACGCGCGCCGCTGAACCCATCCCCCTCCCCACTGGCGTGGCCTTGGCCCCGCTGGTCGACTTGCCCACCTGTGTGGGGATGTACATAGGGCAACGAACTCTATACACCGACCCTTTTCCCGGAAATGCGCACAGAAACGCGGATTCTGGTGTATACGGGATCCTGGTGTATACATTTTCCGTTGTTTCCCTTGGAACACGGAGGAGACGTACACACCACACCACCCCGACGTCGTCCCTGACCCTTGAAAAGTCGTGGGATTGAAAAACAACCCGCCACTGGTAATGTAGATGTTCCAGTTTGCGAGTACACCGGTCGGGGATCTTCTGACCCGGATGCAATCCAGACCCGGGTGAGCAGGAAACCAAAAACTGCAATGCAAGAAAAAAAACTGCAACGCAGGTCATCGCAAACCCGGGTCAGCCAATAGGCGCGGCCGCCTCGCGGCCACGAGCGGCTCGCTGACCCGGGTCAGCCAGAGGGGGTCTTCACAGGATCCTGCGGGATCTGGCGCCCTGGCTGATCCCCGTCTGCATGGACCCCCGCCTCGAGGCTCCCGAACCGGTTCCCCTCGGGCTTCGCCGGGCGCACCCCTCCGACACCGGCGGCTCCGGGGCCCCGTCTGGCACGCCGAGGTGTGGCGGCAGGCCCCAGGGGGGAGGCGAGGAGGGGCGGGCCTTCTCGGAAGGCTCGGCGGCCCTCCAGCCTGCCGAGAGTGGACGAGCGCGTTCCACTACTCGCAAAGGGGCTACTCGCAAGTGGCCTGGATCCGCCGGGCGGGGGGGGGAGATGCGAGAAATGGCATCGGATAAGACATGTGTTTTCTGGCGTTTGCGAGTAGGCACTTTGCGAGTGGTGGAACGCGCTCGGTGAGAGGAGTGTTCCAAGTCTTCCCCCGAGGACACGGAAGCGTCTCAGAGGGAGCGAAGGATCCTGAGAAGTCCCGCCGCCTTCTGAGAAGGCCTTCTCCTTCTCACTTTCCCCCCTCGCTCGCCGCCGACGGTGGGTCAGGAAACAGCTCCTAGGAGGCCCTCGTGAGAACAATCAGGGGCTCTCAAGCGCGAGAAAGGGGCCATTATGCCGGATCAGGTCGGATGAAGCGCAGGATTAAGCCCGATTCGGCCAGTTCAAGCCGGATTAGGCGGGATTCAACAGGATTAAACCAGATTAGGCCGGTTTTCAACTACGGGTATACCGGCGTCGATGCTGAATATCCCAGGAGATGCTTCCCAGGGTGGGTAAGAGAAACTGCTGCATATGTGTAAACATGTTCTCCATGCTGCTCCACCACAGTATGGTACGGAACCAGGAGGAGAGGAGGAGTCAGGAAGAAGAGGAGGGGGATCAGGAGGGGAATCAGATGCAGAACGGGACTCAGAGGGAGGCGGAATTAGCACGACCAGGCAGCGCAGAGAGCCTTCGAGCCCCCAGAAGTGCGAGAAGAAGATCACGGCCACCATGACGAGGAACTGCATCGCGAGGTTCCTCTTCCAGTTCACCGGCGGCCGGTCGAGGTCCCACAGGTCGGACTCCTGCCGTCAGAGCGTGGAAACCAGCAGAGACGGATGCTGCTACACCCCGGGCCTCTCCCGAAGTGCGTTCTCACCATCATGTCGTCGCGAGTCCAGCCCTGGCGGCGAAGGCCTGGAAGGAGGCCCCGCAAGACGAAAAAACGACGGACTGGTGGCGGTATCGGCACCTTCTCCTCCCCAGACATCCGCCGAATTGGTTCCCGTGTCAACTCTTAAGTCGGGCGTATTCCCCTACAGGGGGATTTTGGGCGAAAAACAAAAAACTCCAAAGATACCCCCCAAATACCAAAAAATGATCCAAAAATCGTCCCCAGACTGATTTTAGACTATTTTTCGACTATCCTTGAATATTCCCCCTGTAGAGAGGGACACGCCCGACTCAAGTCAAATCTCGGGTCTCCAGCGGCCGTTCGGGGCGATCTGGACACCTCCGGACGCCTCTCGGCGAGGCGCAGCTACTCGCTCAAACGCGTCTCGAGGCAGGAGAGCTCAGAGGAACCGACGAAAACGAGCGGAACGCCGCCGACTGAGAGCCAAGCATCCCTCGGGGGCGCGCAAACATGTATGAGCGATCCATGGATTTGGCGCGCGGTCGCCAAGTCCATTGATCGGGGGGAGTGCCCTCCCGAAAGTGCGGCCGGTGCCGCCTCCTTCGGCGGCAGAAATCCGCGATTTCCCGTGGAAGCGGGACCCGTCGCCAATCCAAGCCCCCTTGATCCATGTTTGCGATCGCCTGATACCCCCTCGTCGCGCCGCCGACTGCACTGAGACCCAAGCATCCTCTCCCGACCCACCGACAAACCTGGCAGCGGCATCCGTACGTTTCCCCGAGCGAACGCACACTCGGGCCACTACCGTGTCAATGTTGAGCTACACTGTCAATGCCTCGCTCTCCTGGGGCTTTGCTGTGTTCTTGCTCGTTAACATGTGTCGCGTGTGCGGAGCTACACTGTCAATGCCGCGCCTTCCTGTGGCTCTGCTGAGATCCTGCTCGTAACGCACATCGCCAGAAGCGGCGGAGAGCTTGAGAGATCCACCCACAAAAAAAGGCCCACCGACCAACTTTCCGGGGGAACGAAAGGGGGGGATAGCAAAGGGTAGGGTAGAGAATCGGCTCACGTAGCTGACCCTCCCAGCGCCTCCTGGCGCCGGGAGGCGCCCACGTATCGAAGAATGGGCCCGGCGGCGGGGCCGAAACCAGCTGCATGCAGCAGATCTCGTACCCCCCCCCTTCCCCTTCCCAGACATCCGACGTCTCGATTTTTTCGAGACGTGGGCCCCCGACCTCCCGACCACTTCCCCGGGGTCGGGTTTTCACCCCGAGTCGTTTTTTGAAGGTCCCGAGGCCCGGCGAGGGCCCCGAGAGGCCGAAAACGACGAAAAACCCTCGTCTCGATTTTTTCAAGACGCCCGATGTCTGGGTATCCCCCCCTGTCGTTCGGCCCGAAACTTGGCAGCGGCACCCGCACGTTCCCCCGAGAGGAACGCACGCTCGGGCCCCTCGGCGCCGGCCTCCCCGGAGCAGGCTCGAGGCTCGCGAGGCGGCGGGTCCCTCGCGCGCCCTCTCCGCGGCGCCACAGGCTCTCGCGTCGGGAAGGGTCCTGCAGGTGGCGACGAGCGGACAACACGCACCCATACCCGTACCCAGACCCCCTCGGTTAATGAAAAAAACATGACGGAAGGCTTTTTGCTATTTTCGGCCTCTGGGGACCCTTACCGGCCCTCGGGACCGTCAAAAAACGACTCGGGATGAAAAACCGGTCCAGGGGAATGGGTCGAGACCTCCAGGGGTCGACGGAATGAAAAATTCATGACGTCGGGGGTCGGGGTAGGGCAAGTTCGTATCGTGACGGCCCTGGCGTTGGTTTCTGACACCGTGTAGCCTCGAACGATCGGCGACTTTCCGATCGCCCGATCGTTCCATGTGGGCCGATGCTGAGCCACTGGCGGCGTTCAACCTTGAACGCCCGCAGCGGTGTCGCCGCTGGTCGACACGACGCGAACCTATTGTATAGGAGGGTCGGAGGGAGGAGGACTGGCTATGGATATGGGTGCGGGCTGTCGGACCCTGGGAGAGGCTCCCGCTCGAACGGGAACCTCCATCCGACAACACGCACCCATAGCCCCCTCCGCCCCCCATATGATTAGGTCGGGTCTGTCCACCTACAGGAGGATTTTTGGGCGAAAGAAATGCTCGAAAAATAATCGAAAGATCCCCAAAAATACTGGAAAATAGTCCCCATTTTATGTTTTGATTATTGTTGAATATCCCCCCTGTAGAGGGACAGGCCCGACTTAACCCTATGGGCATGGGTGCGTGTTGTTCGTTCGTCAGATGAGGTCGGCTCTGACCGAGACGAGCCTGCCGCGCTGCTTGAGAAGCTGCGTGTCAGCAGGCCGCGCGGGGTGGCCTCGAGACCTCGCGAGGCCCCACCGCGCGGGCCGTCGCCGCGGCCCGCCACGGCGCCCGGCTTTGGAGGCCCCGAGGGCCCCAGCCGCTCGAGACATCCTTTGCGCGTCTTTTATGCGAGGCGGGGATTGGTCCACATCCACCGCCTGGGAACCGACGTCCTGGTGCCCCAGCGCGCGGTGGACATGGGTATCTTTCGGCCCCCCGGGGGCCCGAAGTTGTCCATATCCACTGCCTGCCGAGGCTCCGAAAACTGACCCTCCAGGACGTGGTCATGTATACATTCCCGCATCGGATTTTACACGTCGGGCAGTCACGCATTGGCATATCGGTGGTTCAAACGGGGGGTCCTACTGGACGGGGCCCTAAGGACGAGGTGCATCGAACAGTGTAACTCCACCGTTGGATCCCTATCCTTAGGACCCCATCCCTCGGGACCCCATCTTGGAACCACCGAGCAGAAATGGTTCCGCCCCTCTGCCGTTTGCGCGTCGCTCCTGCGGCTCTCGGAAGAGGATCTTCCCCTCGTGGCGCAGCGGCACCCAGCCCCGGGCCGTGCGAGCCCAGTCGCCCCGCCGCTCCTCCACGCTGACGAGGTCGCCGACCTGAGGACCAGCCACTGCCACTGCTGCTGTTGCTGCTGCTCATCGTCCTTCGTCCTCGCCCTCCCCAGAAACTCCTGGCCGAGGTCTCTCCTGGAAAGGGCTGGGGCCCAGGGTTCTCTTTTGGAGGTTTGATCCCCGGCCTCGACTCGAAGGAGGCCGGCGAATTTATTCCGCGATAAATCACGAAGAGGGCCGGCGAATGAAACATTTGGAAGTCCCCAGCGAAATGCTCGTTTTTGAAATTCCGATGTTTAAACACATGGAGAAGTAAGCATTTCGTTTGTTGCGGGTGTCTCGAGCGAAACGCTTATCTTGCAGAATTTGTTGAGGCGCGACGCTTGGTTTCTCGCGCCCAGGCTGCCCAGGCAGATGTCTAGCATGAGGATGTGTTGAGGATGTCTCGAGCGAAACGCTTGATTTCACGCGTCCAGGTCGTCCAGGTAGATGTCCAGCATGAGAATGTGTTGAGGATGTCTCGAGCGAGGCGCTTGGTTTCACGTGTCCAGGTCGGCCAGGCGGATGTCTAGCATTAGGATGTGTAGAGAACCTCTCGAGCGAAACGCTTGTTTTCATTTGCCCAAGTCGCCCAGGCAGATGTCTAACATGAAGATGTGTTGAGAATGCCTCGAGCAAGAGGCTTGGTTTCATGCGTCCAGGTCGCCCAGGCGGGTGTATAGCATAAGGAGGTGCTGAGAACGTCTCGAGCGAATCACTTGACTTCACGTGACCAGGTCGCCCTAGCGGATGTCTAACATGAAGATGTGTTGAGGATGTCTCGAGCGAGCCGCTGACTTTCTGTGTCCAGGTCGCCCAGGCGGATGTCAAGCATGAGGATGCGTTGAGAATGCGTTGAGCGAACAAATTGTTTTCACGTGTCCAGGTCGCCCAGGGGGATGTATGACATGAGGATTTGGGCAGGATGTCTCGAGCGAAACGTTTGTTGTCACGCATCCAGGTTGCCCAGGCATATGTCTAGCATGAGGACGTGTTGAGAACGTCTCGAGCGAGAGACGCTTGGTTCCACGTGTCCACGTCGCCCAGGCAGATGTCTAGCATGAGGATGTATTGATGATGTCTCAAGCGAGACGCTTGTTTTCACGTGTCCAGGTCGCCCAGACTGATGTCCGACATGAGGATTTGTTGAGGATGTTTCAAGCGAAACGCTTATCGCAGTAGAGCTCATCGCAGTCCAACCCTGCCAGTCCGCGGGGCGTCCCCTGGCGCGCTGGCGCGTCCCCTGGCGCGTCCCCTGCGACGTTTTGGTGTGACGTGCCATGGCACGTCCCCTAGCACGCCACTCGGCGTGGCACGTTCCCTGGCTCGTCCTCTGTCGCGTTTCCTGGCTCGTCCCCAGGCGTTTCCCCTGCCCGTTCCGTGGCGCGCCCCTTGCAACGTCCCTTGGCATGACGTCCTCTGGCCGCCCCATGGCACGCGCCTTGGCACGTCCCGTGGCAGGTCCCTGACACGTCCAGGGCAAGTCCCCTGATACGTCCCCTGACACGCCCCCTGGCACACCCCCTGTTGCGCCACTGGCACGTCCTGTGGCGCGTCCGTGAGCCTGTGCCCCGTGTCGTGTCGTTCCTTTTCGGAGCTGTGTCGGACTTTGAGGTCGAGTTGATTGAACGTCCCGCACGTTTCTACTTCAACTAGCTCTGGGGCAGCTACTATGTGCTCAGGCAGCTCGAGCTTAAGATCCAAATCAGTTCAGTCAGGACCCGGATGAAAGGAGGACTCGATCCACAACGCTACAGACCTCAATAGCGGAATTGCACATCGCAATCCAGCACGGCGCAGCACTGCACATCCCTTGGCATAGTACATCACGATCGATCCACTCAGCATTGCAATTGTCCGTCGCCCAATCAGGTGTCTCGAAAACGTTGCCATGCCTCACAATTCTACATTCCCTTCCGGGTTCGTGGGTCGACCATGTTCCCGATGGTCGACTTCCGGGGGTCCCTCCCGGGGCCCCGGGACGGTCACAAAGCGACTCGGGATGAAGAGCTGGCCCCAGGGAAAAGGTCGAGGCAGCCTCCTGGGAACTCCGCGTTCGACGCTCAAGACGTCGGCGAGTCTGGCTCCCTCCCCCTCATTGCCACACCAGGCTCAGGTCGGGCCTGTCCCCCTGCAGGGGGGGCTTTGGGCGAAAACTTAAACATACGCAAGACATGCCCTACTAGACTCAAGAGAGGTCAACAAATCGTCCCCGGACTGTTTTTGGACTGCTTTTGAATATTCCTTCTGTCGAGGGACAGGCCCGATTTGACACCAAGCGCGCTCTCCGCCCCGGCCGTACACGCCTGGGCTCGGGCCACGGGACCCTCAGACGCCGATGCGACCAGAGAAACGGAGCAGTAAGATACAGTATTCGGCCTGACCTGAGGAACGACAAATAAGGAACGACAATAAAGCCTACGAAGTCCGAGGGAACGCCAGGGGGGCTCGCCGCCGAAAAGGCAGCGGAACGCATGCAAACCAAAGGAACGACCGAGCTGCTTTTGAAGAGTAAGCGTTCCTTATTCAAGCCAGAGCCTGGATGGTCCAGGGCTCCAGTCGTGAGAGTGTCGCGATGCTGCAGCGTGGCCAAAACGTCGGATCTCGGGGTCCCTCCCACTTCCACCCTTGCGGCGTCGCCGACCTGCGGCCCGAGCCTCGAGGTGTCCCTGTCCTCGAAGTGGGGCGTCCTGAGGAGGCCGAGAGGGCACGAGGAAGGCGCAGGGGACTGGGGGCAAGAAGGTGCACGGGAGGGGGAGGAGGGGGAGGAGAGGGGAGAAATGGAGGAGTAGACTGTCCAGCTGCAGCAGAAAGAAAAGGAGGAGGACACGGAGGAAAAAGGGAGCAGAGGAGGATCTCCGTCTCAGGGGCGACAGGCGGTAAGGCGGGGACGCCAGAAGACAACCCGCTGCGAGAGGACGGCGTGGGGCGAACAGGTCCCAAGAGATCCCTTACTCCATATCACCCTCCTCCTCATCATAATCGAATTATCATCATCAT